CGGGGCGCCGGGCGCCGCCACAAGCGGAGGGTTCGGGAGCAGCAGGACGGAGGGCTGTTTGACAAATTGAAAATATGCCGCGCGTCTTGCCCGGCGGGGCGCTGCCGGGGCTGCGGAGGGCGGGCGCTCACTACACACGTCCACGCTGCGGTGGGTGCCGCACGTGGCTAGGCCCGCTGGCCCGGCCCGAGTGGTACACGGCGGCGGCTGATTCGGACCCGGAGCAAGGGCAGCGGGTGGGGGTGGGGGACAAGGCCACGCGGAAATCAACTTACCCCGAGCGGGCGTTGGGGGGCATTGGGGCAGCGTCAGGACGGCCGCCCCCGGGACCTGCGCGCGCGAAAGTTTGAAATATGTTGGCGCTCAGAAGCCGTTTCCGGCCTCGGCGCCTCCCCCGCCAGGCTGAGCCGCCGACGGGCCCGCCGCGGAGCGCCTCGGGGACGACACCGCAGCGCAGAATGCCGCCGCTGGCCTCAGGTGTCCGATAAAGGGAGAAAGGTGTGATGCCGCAGGGAGAGGGAGGGAGAGATTAAACCGGAAACGCGCGGGAGAGGGTAGGGGCCCGTGGGGTGCAGGTGGGAGGGTCAGCTGACCAAATTGTCGCGCCTGGAATGAGCAGCGCCCTGCGTCCCCAAGGACCCCCTGGGCACGGCCTGTCCTGCGGGCGCGGAGTGGCGCCGAGGTACAGTCCGGCCGGCGCGGAACCCTCGTGGTGGTCCGGGTCCACCTCGGCTCACCCACCCCGCACCCCTCTCCACACCCACAGCCTGCCTGGCCTTGTAATGAGTGTAGGACAAGGGCCACCCAGAGCTGGCGCCCCTGCCCGCGCGAATGGGCCCCCAACCCCTTCAGCCAGCCCCGCCCCGCCCGCAACACAACCATCCCCATCCCCGGAGGGGTAGCGGGTCGCAGACGTGTGGCCTCGGGGACCCATGGCTTTTACGTCCCCCCCCCCCCCCCCTCCCCCCTCGCCCCGCAGGCGTATGCGGACCAATGTGTACTCCTCGATCTGCTGTGACGCCGCCGCTGGCAAAAACCATCTGCTCGGTTGTAATGTACCCACTCAAAACATACAAGGTAGACGGACGTTAAAACCGTGTGAAGCTAGAATGGCCTGCCGCGCCACAGTCATAGTTCATGTTCATATTATAGACTAAATTTTTTCATTATTTAAACGAACGCTTTTGATATCCTTATGATGCCAGCTTCGTCATAACTCTGATGTTCTGCTACTTTAGACAACATGCACACAATACACAACAGCCCTCGTGCCTTCTCAGTTGGGACATTACAATGGTCAAAATAAATATGCTGTTATAAAAAATGGAAAGGAGCAAGCCCAAACTAGCAACCTAAATCAATAAAGCAAATCAGCAAAGATATTATTCTATGCATCCAATCGTCTCTTTTTGGGAATGGAAGCAAACCTAAACCAACATCCGTATACGCTGATAAAAAAATTGTTCAACTGGTGTGCACAAGCAGGTGCTCAACATTATGTTGCACACATAAAAGAGTTTGACTGGATATTTGAATACCATAAAGTGATTACCAGTAGAGTTGAAGACATTAAAGTATTTAACATCAGGATTGGCCACAAATCTTTGGACACATTGAAGTGTTCAAATTGAATGTTGAACTCTTTAACCATTCAAACATCCAGTCAGAAACATAAAAGTGTGCAACATAGTGTTGAGCACTTGCATATGCACACGAGTTGAACACTTTATTTATCAGCGTAGTTCAGTGCATTAAATCAGTAATGGTATAATGTGTTTTGGCACAAGGAGTTTCAGTTTAAGAGCTAAGGAAAGGGGATTACACTTGCCCAGTTAAATGGAGACCTCAAGAATTCTTTGACATGGCTGGAAGCTTCATGAGACTTATTCAGGGGCTAAGTTTGGTCAGATTGATTTCTATAAGTTCCTTTTAATACAAGTACACTAATAATAACCTTCATGCCTTTCAAATTCTAGGTTGAACATAATCGATCAATAAGGTGTATCAAATCAGTGCTTGGAACGACTTGTATCTTTAACATCAATGTCATAGAAATGCGCTTTGGTAAATCTTTGGGAACTTTGCAACAAAATGTTTTTAAACATTTATACTAGATGCATCCTTAAACATATTTTGTTCAATATGTATTCTTTGCATTAATTCATTTCATCCATAACGTTTACTGTAGCTCATTGGGCCAAAGCAAAATGGGAACACATATCTTTCCGAACAACTTCACACATTTTTTTAGCAGGGTGATTAAACGAAAAACTTACTTGCAATAGCTGGGTTTCCACGGAATGATTCAAGCAAATTATGATTCACTTCAGTCTATGATTTGTCTTTGTCAATTCCACAATGTAATTTTCTACACGTAACTTTTTTTCACATTTTGATTTTTGCTTGGAGGGCTAAGATGAGTTCTTTTCACTGACTTTATTATCATGTCTTTCAGTCCCATAGCAAATTTGTTCAACACAGCTACACAGAAAATAACAATATTGTTCTCACGAGGTAACCATAACCTTGACCTCGGTCAAAGTCACTTTCACCAACACTAACACTAGCCAGCTGATTTTGAGTTCTTGTTTTACTTTTGTTTTAAATTTCTTCAAAAATAAATCTTTTTAAATTCGCACCAATACTGCTTTCTTCTCTTTGTATTATAAATCTCATAGTTGCAACGTTTGTAATTGGTATGTTTACGCGACTTGGGTTAGGCATACCTGACCACCTGACCTGTCCTCCCCACATCGCGCCTGGGTGGTAGGCAACACATTCCCTTCAGTGCATGCGTGTACGACTGGTGGCCTACCCCGAGTCTCGCAGGCGGCAAGGTCTACAATATTAGTCGAACGAATCTGAGAAAAACGAACGAGCTTCCCATACGGGCAAAGGGTGAAAGGCAAACCCGCAACACTGGGGGGGGGTGTTCGCAGTTCGCACCACAACAATG